AATTTAGATAATATAACAAAAAATAAATAAAAAAACTATACTTAAATCAAATAACTCAAAACTAACATAATAGAAGAAAAACAACAAAATATTAAAAAAAAATAAACTTTGAAAAAAAATTAAAAAAACTCAAACGAACTTTTTATATCTAATCTAATTTTAAAAACTTGTGATTCAGTTCAATCTTTAACTTGAATTCAATAAAAAAAATTTAATTATTAATTAATTTAATTTTAAATAATGAAATCATTAAAAATATAAATAAAAATTTATAAATAAAAAACTATAAAAAATAAAATAAAATAAGATAAATATTTATAATTTGATAAATTATTTTATTTCCAATACTACCCCAATACCCCAAAAGATAGCATTTGATGGCCAAAATGATGCACAAGCACTTCTTGAATATCATAGGAGTCACCCATGGCTGATTTTTTAAAATTAATATTTAATATTCAGTAATTATAATAATATTCTCGAGCAACCTCTGAAATTACAACAAAACCATTATATAATAACAAAAGAAGCATGATTTTATTTTAGAAGGGCAATTGCATAATTTTATTATTATTATAAATAGTAATGCATGTCTAAAAACATAAACATAGTAACTTTCACTTGAGAATTAGTTTTTTTATTTATATCAAATTGTAAAGTTCTACCTGTCCAGTTGTTAAATTTACTGTTTCAAGGCAATTACATCATTAATAAGAACTGTATATTGATCCTTTTTATTCACGCATATGTTCTTGTTATAGTGGTCATGTAATTTTAAAAGACGAAGAATTTCCGACAGTATGTCCAATATTCAACCCGCATTAAAACTCTTTATCCTATCTCTATTTTGCAATGTAATATTCCCAGTGATCTCCTTCAGAAAGCAAAAAAATCGCTGGGCACACGTTCTGGTGTATACCATTTTACCACTGAAAAGCATATTCTGAACAGGCAGCACGCTATCATATTCCTTCCTTCTTGAGAACACATGTAAGCTCAGGAGCTGTTAATAATCCAATACTGACTCAACATACTCTTTCTTCATTAGATATTACCTGGAACGGAAAGAAACGAGGGCTAATAACCTCGGCATAATAACGTTTCGCGGCCTGATGCGACCATGAGCTTAAAATCTATGAGTTACCCGTGCTCATTGACAAGGACTTCGATTGTATGTCTCTGGGAAGGAAATTTTTATTGTCGCCCCGACATTTAGACAACCTCAAAAAAAGCAATCCGTAAAGGCACAATCATTATTCAGTTTTTTCTTGCCGGTGAAAGCTAAAAAAATAAGTCTAACGTTGATCATTGTTATTCTTAATAAAGAAATTGATTCCACATTTTTGTAATCTTATCGTTTAATATGCATGCATCAAGTATATCTATTACTCTTAGTATTTAGATAATGCATGTCGGAATGAATACCTTGAACCACGGAATGCATGTCGGAATGAATACCTTGAACCTGATGCATAACTCAATGAGTCATAGATAAAGTACGAATATAGCATAAACTCAATTTCCGAATATCCATTATCATACCCCTATTGAGAAATTATTGATTTTTTTTTTTTAATCTAAGCTTGAGCTACAAAACTGTATAACGAATTCAGTTCGATACTGAAATTGTTGAGATATTTAGAAATCAAGACAGTAGAGATATTTGGACTTTTATTTTGACCAAACCATAAAATTCATGTCTTTTAAGTCAAACCATAAAATTCATATCTTTTAAGTAATGCATTTCTCAGCGAATGAAATCGCCAATTAAATCTCAGGAGTCCAGGGATTGCTAATGGGTCAAATTAGAGCCTTATCGAAGATATAATAAACACACCCATCAGTAGGAATCATCAAAAGCAGCAATCACAATCAAATAGGCAGAGAACTTAGCAGGGTACCCCACCACTGCTTTTGTTGAAACCTGAGTTCGAGATTTACCGTGTAAGTCTGTTATTTTCACGATGTTTTACTTGTTTATTAGGCTTACAGGATGTTTAGTAGGCCGTGAGAATTAATCGTGGTGCACGTAAGCTAACCCAGACACCCCACGTAAATAAAAAAAAAACAAAAAAAAACTCAATTCCACTTATGTACATGCTAGTTATATCCGCGAAGTCAGTCAGATATTTTTTTTAATCCTAATTATAAATATAAAAAAAATTATCTTAACCAAAAACTATTTATACTAATAAATACAAAATATAAAATTTTAATATATTTATTTAACTCGTTTTGCGGTAAGTTAAATTTTTTTAATGTAAAATAACTAATGTGTATGTCTTATAAACGTGTTTTTTTACATTGAATAATTAAAATCTATAATTACAAATAAAAAAGATCAATATTTACTTATAATAAACTAGAGTAAATATCATATATTTATAAAATTACATAATCAAACATTAAACTATAATAAAGGATTGCATTACATATGATATATTACAACCAACTAAACATGTCTTCAGCTTATTATCCCCTCACATCATTACAATTAATATTTGAATACTTCCACTTAAAAATACCAGGTTAAAATTCTGAGCATAATGGAATAAAAGTTTAGGAATTAAGAATCAAGGATAGAGTTTATCCAAGATAATAAATAAATAAATAAATAAATAAGGATAGATAAAAAGTTATTCTGCATTACGGAAGCTTCTCAAATGCTTCCAGAGAGATCCAGAGATATTGGCTTTCAAATACATTTTCTAAATTGACATGGCATAATTTTCTAAAGGGATGTTGCAAAATCTGGCTCAACGACGACTTGAAGTCAAGATCGGGTGGTGTCAATATCAAGTCATGGCTTAGAATATCAAACTGGATGTCTCGACCGTAGGGTTCAGCACCGTCTCCATTAATGTTTGATAGTGTGCTTTAGAATGGAAAGGGTTAAAATAATATTTGTTTAATTTTTTTATTTTTAACACAGCCACATTAAAATATATATAAAAAATATTTATTTTTTGAAATTTTTTTAAAACAGGTTATAATAAAAAATAAATATTAATTTAATATTTTTTTTCACCTCCAAAAACTCCCAAGAAGTATTGAGACTTGTTATTGTTTATTTGTGATAGCTCTATATTGTATTCGTTTTCAGGGATTTATTCAGTTAAAAAAATCATGGTTTTGTGGCTAAAATAAATGGTTCTTATTGTTCTATTCTGTAGAAGTGATGGTTAATGCTAAGAAGTGTTGTGATGTAAAGCCTATATAAATAGACCTTTTTTTTATCAATAAAATTAATTGCCTTTTCATTCAAAGTTGGTTTCTTAGTAATAATGATATTAGAATTTTAAATTTTATTATTTTTATTTATTAAATAAAAATTAAATATAATAAAACATTAAATTATGTAAATTTGAAGCTCGAATTTTTTTTTACTTGAAATAATATATTAAAAAATAATATAAATTATATTTTAAAATTTTATCTAAAATTTAAAAAATTTAAATTGATTAAAAATTTTAAATTGAATTATTTTTTTTTTATAAAAAAATCATAGTTGGCGTACAACTTAAAAACTCATCACTAGAATTGCTAGCACAATAAAAGCATATCCACACCCCTAGCTAAAAATAGACTTTTAAGCATAAACAGAACGTTTGATTGGACGAGTCTTATGGTGCAGAGTCGCACGCTTTAAGATTAGATTTCCTTTAATTAATATTTTTGGTACATGATCGAAGATTAGGCCATGAAGATGCGCTGTAATGGAAAAGGCACCCTGGTCAATTGTATTTTTTTGGAAAAGTCTCATTCTACCCCCTGAATTCCTAGAAAACTTATTTTAGTCTCCATGTTTTATTTTTATTTACGATTTTGTTCTTATTTTAAAGATTTTTTTGGATCCTTTTATTTTTTAAAAGTCACAGTTTAGTTTTTATAATATTTTTTTTAAAAAAACTAAATCCCTACATGATTATTCTTAGTTATGTCATGGTTGGCCATAGCTTTTTCAATGTAATGTTTATGATGTAATAAACCATTACATGCAATTATAGTAATAGATTATATTACAATTCTAAAAATTACATAACTAGATATAAAAATATAATAGACCATTGCATTATATGAATCTTTATATCTAATTAAATTAAACATGCCAAACGAGACAAAAAGATGAACACCAGCTCCTCTTTACTCATAAAAATAAAAATAAAAAACCCTATTCCCTCTAATTCCACAAAGTCACAAACCAAATCAACTGGCAAACACTATTAAAATACCACTGTGACGATGTAATACGAAACGAAATGGGTCAGTATCAACTTTCCATCGATGCAAATAAAATGTCCTGGATATATCAAATTTTAGGTTTAGAATAATCCAAAGGTGTTTCGGTATGAACTTTAAAAGTTGGTTGTTTTTGTTTTTTTATCATCCCATTTCTTAAATTTTACATGTTCTCCTTGTTTTGTTTGTGACAGTGTATACTTGGCAATCAATGATTTTACTTGTTTTTTAGGCAAACTTTCATCTTTGTCAAGCCAAGCCCAACAACCAGCTGCATATACCAGGCCTATGTTTTAAGCCCAGATCTGGAATCGCACTTCTTGGAAAGCTTGTTTTTTAGTTCAAATGTGGTGGTTCACCACTAATTTGACGTCGGCAGTTCTGCAGGAATTATGTTCAGGCCTGCCTGTTCTGAGATGATGAACCTTCGATAGCGAATGATGATTACTGCAGACTTGTTTCATGGTATTAGATCCTCAGGCTTCTTGGTGGGAATTAAATGGTAATGGGATTGCTTTTTGGGTAACCCTGGCGATGCTAGCATTGGTGGTCTTATTCGAAATCATTGTGGGCACGCAACAAGGATGACTGGTTTTTCTTGCTATTGCTATATCTGTCGAAGTTCATTCGACGGTGGCAGGCGAGCTATCGGCTTTAAGAAAATGTATATATTAGCTTACGCATTCATAACAGAGAACAGAAAATTAGTAATCGAAGATCTGCAAGCATATTCCCAGGCACGAGTACCGTGATAAATACAAATTGAGGAGGTCTTCTAGATGTAAAATTTTCAGTAAAGGCGCCTGCATAGTGTAACACCATCACCAACGGAAACTTGGGAAATCTCTAAACGGGGATCGGAGCTTATTAGTTTATTGAATTCCATGATGACTGTCCTGACAGTCCTCAAATGCTCTGGCACCTCGTCGTCTTCTTTTGCAACCATGCCAAACCACAGTGTGTTATCATAAGCAATCACACCTCCAATCTTAACCAGTTCCAATAATTGCTCATGATAATGCTTGTAGTTAGGCTTGTCAGCGTCTACGAACGCAAAGTCAAATTCTGGCTGCTTATCCTGAAACGAATCCAAAATAAAACAAAGGCAGGCATCCGGATAGAAAAGAAACATTATAGACATGTGATATATTGATAATCCTCAGAGGTGGTGCTCTACCTTATATTAATTTCCTTATATACGTTAGGAAGTAAAATAACTTTCCAAGATAATAAGAATCAAGTAAGAAATTTTCTAAAACAAATCATTGTGGGGCAATTTAAACAATTAAAAAAATTCTCTGATGGTTCTAATGATATTATAATTACAGTTTTGTTGTATATTTTAGATTTTGTTATTTTTTTATTGTAATTGCTTATTTATCTTTGAACAATAAATATAATTTATGTCAGTTATTACTAATAATATTTTTTGATATCAATGAAATTATTTCATCAAGAACTTTTTGATAATACAAGGGATATTGTTATCTAAAATTTGATATATCTTTGGCTATCTCTCTTTTTCTCCCTCTCTATTCTCATTGTAATTATACTAGTACATTTCACAATTTCTTTGACGTTACGTAATTTTGAATCATAACAAGTTTGAGTGTTGTACTTCTCAATCACAGTACAAATTGTTTACTGTGTTATTTGAACAATTTCTTTTTCTTTTTTTTTTTGAAAAAAAACAGCTCTAATTAACGAAAATACCTCATTATTTCTTCCTTTTTCAATGCTCAAATTTTAACATGTATATTAGGTACGCGAGCATTCAAAAGCTAACTCTTTTCACGAACAAATTAAGTTCAATGGCATGCGAAATTGAGAAACTTACATTGTTTAGCATTTCATTTAAAACTGAGATGGCATCTGCTTGAATGAATTTGATTTTATTCTCCATGCCAGCCTTTTGAATGCATGGTAATCCAACTTCATAAGCTTCTCGATCTATGTCAATCGCTGTTATCTGCAGATCACAAATCAGTCACCAATATAAATACACGATCACTAATTAATTCTTTCATATAATCTTCTCCTCTTTTTTTTCCCTGCTAATGGCAGGCAAGGGATGCAAGGATTGAAAAACAGGCTCTAAAGACGGCTTGCAGCAAATCGCTCACTGAAGCTATTAATGGCGCGGATCATGTAGAGCACAGGCCAATTTGTAATGTTAAAACATAAGAGCAATTGATGTTTCCTTCACAAATCACCTACCTGGCTTTCATTTGGCAAGGCGAGTGCAGTGGAAAGGAGGGAATAGCCTGTAAAGACACCAACCTCCAAAGTCCTCTTGGGATTCATGATTTTCATAAGCATTGATAGGAAACGCCCTTCATCAACTGGTATAGCCATCTCACTTCTGCAATTTTGCAAATTTCAAACTGCTTGCGCAATGTTTTTTTTAATCTAATTTCTTACTTCGTTTACTACATAACTCACTGTTCATTCGTCACTCTCCATATTATACTCACCGTACCAAAAGCGTAATTCTTTTTGTAAGAAATCTCACTCTTTAATTTCTAATAATATCACTTACAAGTTGCCATATTTTTTTGCCGTTGCTTCTCGTAGCTCCTTTAGTTGCTCATGCTCCCCAGGATATGCACTAGTTTCATATATGTACTATATCATAAACGGGAAAACTCGGGTCATTAATTTGAACAAATTATGAAAAGAAAAGAAGAAAAGGGATAATTAATCAAGAAGTAAGAGCTAGTTAAAAATATTCTTAAAAGGACGTTTCTTGAGGCTTAAACTCCCCTCTATATATCTAGGATTGTATTTAATAATAAATATATCAATAAAGAAAAATGATTTTTAATCATGCTCTCAAAAACAAACATGCAATCGTTGCATTTCATGTTGGGATTTTTATTTAGCAATGGAAGCATAGCCTGGAACAGCGGAAACGGGGATTCCAACCGTTGATCTCGCAGAGGCTAACATGCTAGTGCCACTTCACCATTTGAACCAATGGAGTTCCACATGCTTTACATATTTAAATATTAAAAACTGTGATCGAGAAAGAGACTGTATATCAGACCAAATCAGAGGCTGATTTGTTCATAAACAATCACACATTAGCAGTGCACTGGAGGGACAGAAGGGAAGAGAGACCTTTTTTAGCGCCTCGCTTTGGAGAATTCCTTTCGAAGGTAAAACGAAAGCCATTGCTGCCTGCTAGCCTGGTTAATTTCTCCTTGCCTGCAATTCATTCTTTAATCATCTATCTATATATAGCAGAGACGTACGTGCATTTTAACTGATCATCATGCCTTGTCAATGGGGATCAATTTTAAAAACTGATTCCACGTGTTTGATAAGTGATTAGTTTCTAAGAACAGATAATCTCTTTGACTCATTCTTTGTCAAGTGTCATGACATGTAAAGAAAAGAAAAACAGCTCATTCAGGGATAGAGAAAAGCGACCTTTCTTAGAGCCTCAGTCTGGAGGATTCCTTTTGGAGGTATAACGACAGCCATTGCTAGATAGGTCTCTGCTGCCTTAGGCTAGCTCAAGGGACCCCAGATTAGATCTTCAGTCTTCCCTAACGGTAGAGACTAGAGACGTGCTTCTTGATGCCTTCTTGTAATCAACAAATTTCGAGTGTTTGTTAAGCAAACTTCCAGAAATGAATTTGTCTGCCAACTCGTTCTGTGTCGACACCATTTGTATGGCATGCACAATAGCTGGCTGGTGCCACGAGCAAATTTACGATAACCATGGGAACTTGTGATGTGCTCAGCAAATTAATGTTTTCGCCTGTTTCTTTTTTTGTACAAAGCACCCGGATGTTATCCCGCTTTTTAAGGGGAGCGAATGTACAAATTAATACTCTTAGAAAGCATCTTCAAAAGCATCTCCAAAGTTCAAACCAGGTGTCTTATGTGGTTGCGTGGTCTTCAAATGCAATCAATGGTGTTTGTAACAAACTAACAATAATATATATATTGTTTGTAACAAACTAACAATAATATATATTTTTTTATTTAACAATATATTAGAATAATATTTTTTATCCAAAAACAAAAAAATTAAAATTTTTAAAAATTCTGATTCAACCACGGCCAAACACATGCACTAAATTTAGAATAAAGAAATCAAACCTTAAACCAAATAAATCAAGGTAAGGTGTGTTGGATTTGGAAATTTGAGTGTCGCTGACTCTCTACCTTACATGCTCTATATATTAAACACGATCCTTTACAATTTATACTAGTATACTAATTAATGGATGCAACATTTGTTAAACAAAGTTTTTCATTTTTATTAAAAATATTGCAAATTGATTTTATCTTTTTTTTTTTTTGATTTACATGGGCTGTCCGGGCCAGTTTGCACGCACCACGACTAATCCTCACGGCCCACTGAATACCCTGCAAATTCAGTAGGCATGTAAGGCACCGCGGAGGTGACAGGCGTGCACGCTCATGCTATTGGTCAATGACAAGTCAATTAATGAAATAAGGTTAAATTAAAGAAGCTCCGCAATAAAGAAAGATCAAATTAAAGGAGAAGAATTGGTATGGATCAAAAACTAAATATAGGGATTGATGTAACTGGCCTGATTATTTTTATTTTTTTAAAATGTTTTTAAAAATATTTAAATTTTTTTATTTTTTATTTATTTTAAATTAATATTTTTTAATACCTTCAGATTATTTTGATATGTCAATATTAAAAATATTTTTTAAAAAATAAAAAATATTATTTTAATATATTTTTAACTAATTTTTTTTTAAATATAATTATAAGTATATTTTCAAACAAACTTAAAACTCATTCTTACACTGTAATTTTTTATTTTTATTTTTGACCTTTTCTTTCTGAATTACTCTCTCTCTCGTATTGTTAAATGGATGGACCCTTGATTTTATGATCAAGCCTCGTACATGTGTACTATCTATCAAATCTCAATTACGCCCACGACATATTAGACTTTAAAAGGACCCCCTTTTGTATTGGTGACACGTGTGATACCTTCAAGATCTAAATATATAAAAAATGTTGATAGGCTGGAGCTCATTAACAAGCAGCCCCTACTTTCAAGAGGTTTGCCATCTTCTTCTTTTTCTTTTTCTTTTTTCTGATTATTATTATTATTATTATTATTATTATTATTATAAATATTCAGATGAATTTAATTATATTCCAATTAATTTTATAAATTTTAAAATTATTTATTATATAATTTTTTAGTAATCAATTGAGTTTGAGTTTATAATTATTAAAAAATAAACTCAAAATTTCATCAGTTAAGATATTTTAAAAAATTAATTTATTATTTTTTATCATGTCATTGGGTTTAATATTTTGATTTTGTTTTTTTTTTTATTTTGAAGCCTTCTATTCTTTTAGTATTAATTTTGTAAAGGTTCCTTCATCATAACATTGTTAATTCATATGCCAACTTTTTGGCTAGAATAACACCTCCATTTTTTAAATCATGCAATTAAAAAAAAAAAGAAAAAAACAATGAATAAACATGTGAATTGACCAATTTTATTTCTACTTCACTAATTTACTTCATTTCAATAATTTATATTTCATTTCAAACATGGAAATTTTTTTTAAAAAAATAGAAGAGTTGTTATGGATTTTAGAAAAAAAAAACATGCATCAACCACTTAGCATATTTAAGTTGAAAAATGTTATATAGGTGAATTGACTAACTACGATGATAATGATAAAGAATTCTTTATAGAAGAAAATAAAAAATGAAGAAACTCCATCAATTCAAATAAGAGTGGGAAGCTCCAATTAAAAATAAAATAAAAGGTACAATAATAAAAAAATCAAATCTGGTATGAATTGGATAAAATTTTTGTTTCAAAATTGTTATTGTTGTGTATTATATTGGCATATTAATAGTTCGTATTTTTATGTATTAAAAGTGTTTTTAATTTTTTTTAATTTTTAATTATTTTTTTTTGTATTTTTAAAATATTTTAATTTGTTGATATAAAAAATTAATTTTTATAAAAATATTAAAAAAAAAAAACACGTTACCACTTCCAACCGAATTCTAAAACCTAAGAAATTAACTCATGGAAGCTAATTGGACGCTTTAACTTAAACAACCACAATTTCTCGTGCAGTTGTATACACGTTCCATGATTTTAGCTTTTGCTTTATTTGTATTCTCTACTTTAGCATGCGAGTGTTGCTGTTTATATGGGTTGTTGTTTTTCTAAAAAAATATTTTTTTTATTTTTTAAAAAATATTTTTGATATCAATTTAATAAAATAATTTAAAAATATTAATTTAAAGAAAAATTTAAAAAAATATAAAAAAAAAAACAAAAAAAAGATGATGATGTCAAGGTAGCATCATCGTTAATGAGTCTTGGGACTCGGACATATTGCATGCTAAAAAAACACGTGGTATCCTAGCATTAAATGTCAAGAACCAATCACGTATAAAGAGTGGTGGTCAAGAATGAAGCGCGTCCATGAATGAAAGATACCTGGACCCTAACCCGTTTCCTAAATCCAATACTTTAAGCCTCCATATAAGTAGAACGAGAAGGCTACTCTGCCGAAAACCCATCACCTATCAATCGAAAATATTTGAAATTGTTTTTAGTTTTAATATTTTTATTTTTTTATATTTTTTATATTTTTTAAATATACTAATATAAAGAATAAATTTAAAAAATAAAAAATATATTTTGATATAGTTCTAAAACAATATATATTTAATAAAACAATATCTACCATATCCTAAACAACTATTTAATTCTACCCTAAACAACCATTTAATTCTTGGTTTACCTACTAAAAATTGCATTAACATGTCCCTGGGACCTGGGTTGTCGCCATGAAAGTATGCGGTGACTCAAGTCTGGCTATCTAACCTTTATCGTATTATATTGTTTTAAAACTTTAATTACTGAGTTCATATGTAACTTGGGTAACACAGGTTTCCAGCTGGGTTGAGTTTCAATCAAAATATAAAAATAATTAATTTAGTGTAACCTGATAAAAAAAACACAGCAGTCAATTGAAAGAAAAAAACTTGATCAAAACTTGTTATTTTTTACTTGTTTTTATTTTTTAAAATATTGTTATTTTTACTCTTTTTATAAAATAAAAAAATTTAATATTAACTTAAATCAATCAAAATCAAGCCATCTAATTAAACTTGACTCAAATTAAATTTAAAAAATATAAAATTATTTTTTTTGTGGTTGTTTCTACTTTTGAAGCAAATAACATAAAACAGTTACTTGATAATAATTAAAATATTATTTACTATTTATGAATCCCATTGTCATTTGTGCTTGGAATGTAAGGGAAGGAAAGTAGCTCTTCATTGCTTCTTGAGTGGAGGAATTACTATCTACTATTCACTTAAGTGAATATAGACATTTGTTTTTCATGGTTGCTTTTACTTTTAAAGCAAAACCACAAGAAACAATCATTTGGTAATAATCAAAACATCATTTACTGTTTATAGGCCTGTTGTTATTTGTGTTTGAAACACAGGGGGAGGAAAGCAGTTTTTCGCTGCTTCTTGCGTGGAGGAATTACTTTCTTCTGTTTACTTAATCTGATTTAAAGTTAAATGTATTAAATTAGGATAGATTTATAAAATAAAAAAATAAAATTTATTTATTTTTTAAATTATATTTTATTTAAAAAATCAATATTTAACATTATTCAATTATATTACATAAATCAAACAAAGGTCACTTGATGATGTAATATTTACAGAGTTTGATTGCAGTCCCAATTTTATTCCTGATTATATTTTACTTAATATTGTTACACACTTAATAAATCAAAGAAACTATAGTCGTTGTTAGATATATTTAATACGTAATGAAATTATTGAAGTTTAATGAAATAATAAAAATATATTTTGTATAAAGTATTATTTATTTCATGAAATAATAGCAATAATTAAATATATAATATTTAAATTAAAAAATATTTATATTAATATATGTTTTTTAAAATTATTTTATAACTTTAATTTGAAAAATATTTTTAACTAAACACATTAAATTATTTTTTATTCAACTTCAACTTTAATTATAATTTTAACCAAACACATATAAATATTAAACTATTAAATTAAAAATATTTTTTATAAAATATTTTTTTAAATTGTACCCATAAAAATCATTACAGCACTAACCATAGATCAGGACTGTTTAGATAACGAGACAACTGAATACGTTAAAAAAAGAAAAAAAACATAACACTGCTTGTTATTGGAATGACAGATGGAGAGCCGCTGGCTCCCCAGTCATGCCATCATACCGCTCAATGCAAGAGAGTCAGGGGCATAACAAGGCTAAACGACGAGGGCCTTTGGTATTATTATACTGTGCCATTCTATATCATGCAGTGTTGCCCTATAGTTTTCGGTTGTGCTGTGAGGTTAAAACAATATTTGGTAGTGAATCACTACACCATGCTTATAAATATTTAAAGCAGTTCAACAGTGTTTGGTTAAATTATATTATTATGTCTTTTAGATTAAAAATAACAAATAAGGACGGTAACATATAAAAAATATATTAATAAATATATTTCATTTATATTATAATTTATAGCTAGTTAAATTACGTGTCCATGTTTTTACGAGAGTGATTTGTAATTTAAAAAAAAAATAGGATGAATAATATACATATATATCAATTATTTCAATAAAAATAATGATATGATAAAAAAAAATATAAAATTGAGTTATGTAAAACACTAGCATATTTGATATATGTAACAATAAAAACAAATAATAGAGAAAATTATCATTTTAATTAAAAAAAAAATGAATTCGTCAACAAGTAGCTGTGCTTTTGATTAAAAGCATGAGACGCATTTCTTTTTTTCAAAAGCAAATCAATTTTCTTTTAAAGTGACACATTTTTTTATTTTAAAATAAAGCATGCATTAACCAAACATTATTTTTAGATAAAAATAATGTAAAAACAATTGTTTTTAAAAAGTACAGCAGTACCAAGCGTGCCTGAGATCAGGACACCTAACTACACTTTGGTTATTTTGAATGAAATTAGAAAACGAGGTCGTTTCACAGAAACCCTTCTGCCCAGGATGAAGACGTAAATAGACCACCAAGAACGACAACGTTTTTGAAGTGCGTGGTCACGGCTTCGGTTTTTCTTTTTCGTAATCGTCAAAAAGGGTACTTGTCGGGCTGTTTCTTGCCTGCTAAATCCCCACCTTTTCTTTTATTTTTTATTTTTTCTTTTCTTTTCCCTCCCATTTTAGAATGCCCCTTCCTTCCTACTGGCTTCACATTAACTTTGAAGTAAAAAAAAGAAAAGCAAAAGATTAAGGAATCAAAACCACCCAACAATCACACATCAAATATAATTATATATAAAATCTAATATAAAAAAATAAAAACTATTTAACTAACCAAATAATTATTTTTTATATTAAAAATAACCATCTTCTAGAGTTTTTTATATCAATATATTAAAAAATTCTAAAATAACAAAAAAATAATTCTAAACAAAAACAAATTCAAATTTTAAACAAATAATCCACCTGCCTAACACCCCCTTATCACGCAGTGCAATTCCAAACTTCCCCGGACAGCAAGCACAATAGTGTACAGAACCCAACGCAAATCCCAGCCATACCCCTCCGTACCACAACCATATACTTTTATTCCCTTTATACCCTTGTTGTTTTATGCTTTTCCACCCCTACCTGGAGTAGACTCACTCAGGTCTCAGATAGATAGGCAGGTTTCTTGACCTCTCCATCCAAACAGAAGAGAAAGTCAGTCTTCTCCAGAACCAAAAAAAGAAAAGCCTTCTGATATTTTGCAGCAATGGTGAAGTCAAGCGAAAGTGGGGTCGCTCCTTTCTTGAAGAAATGCTATGAGATGGTTGATGATGAATCAACAAATTCGATAATCTCATGGAGCCAGACCAATGACAGCTTTGTTATATGGGACATGACTGAATTCTCTGTCCACTTACTGCCTAAGTACTTCAAACACAGCAATTCTTCTAGTTTTGTCAGGCAGCTCAATATCTATGTAAGTTTTCTTTATTTCTTTCTTTATGTTCTACAATGGTTTTTTTCTTCTTCTTTCCTGTTTTGGTTGTGTGATTGAATTTTAATTGTGGGGTTCTTTATTGATTGATTATTACTAAACGGATGTTATCAATTTTTCGAATATCAAAATTGATGTGAACAATATTTAAAATTCTGGGTTTGTTTATTGTCTTTAATATGAACAATCTTTTGAATTTTCGAAGCAGGGTTTAACTGAATTATGTTCCAATGGAAATAAAATATCAAGTATAGACTGTTAACCAGCAATATAAAAAGTATAGTGCTGAGGAAGATATTATCTCTGAATGTAGGTGTACATATTAAAGAAGGGATCCCTCCGTTTTTAGAAACGTTAGCTTCTAGACGATATTCTTATATGTGCATTTCTAGATTCTTGAAACACAATATGAACTTGTACGTTGCTTTCAACGCTTTAGATTTTTAATAATGGTATATGCTACCAAGATATGGTTTCTTAATTGTTATTAACTAGCTGGTTGGGTGTAAAAGCAATGTTCTTGAATCTTTACCAGGGGTCCTGCTTCTGTGATTGTTCTTGAATCTTTACCAGGGGTCCTGCTTCTGTGTTTTTGATACTTCCTTCGTAGAACATTGCCATTTTTTTATTAGAGAGGCAGGATAAAGCTTAGGTTGTCCCCATGTGGCAGTGAAGCAATTCCTGGGGACGTGTGGCTGATAAGATCGATAAAGATCTTACACCCTGCTTGTTGCATGCCAAGTTTGCCATTGCAAATTTTATAGCTTTGGTATTTCTTGATACATTACTCATCTTGTGTTGTGATTTTTCAATTGTTTTGAAGGTCTTTTCTGAACATTTTTCTTTGTGCTTATTTTTCCTTTCTCGTGTACTTGTGCTGGCATTGGGTTAACACAGGTTGTAGGAAATGATGGGGATGGGAGAAAAGGGAGCCAATAACTCCTCTTTGGCAAGAATTGCAATGTATAGACTCATTAACATGAGTTATATGTGTCCAAGCAGCAATAGAATAAAGTTAAAGACTGATATTATTTCAGCTATTACTGTTCCCCTGCTGTTCTCTGTGCATCTGTCCAGCAACAATTTGGCTAGTAAACTGTGCACTTGTAAAAGAGGATTGATTCTAGTTGGTTGCTGTTCTTTTGCACATATAGGCGTGCTATTTCCCCCTTTTGGGGAGAACATTGTGGCAATTCCATGTCCATTTTCATTGGGTTTACTCATTGGATTTTGCTTTTCCCAGTCTTAGAGTTAGACTAGACAAGGTTCTGGTTCAAGTCTGACCTTGCTTAGAAAACAAAGAGGGTGGACACAAAGGTTCAGAATTGCATAGTTGCTAGGTTGTTCTTTGAATAAGTCATTCGAAAGTGATTCTTGCTAAAATATTGCAGTGTTATCTTTTTATTTGTAAAAGTTCTGTTTGTAGTTAAAAAATTCATTGCAAAATAAGCTAACTAGTCTTCATCTGTTCCTATGAGAATGATTAAAATTAAACTGATGCATGTCTCTTTCTTGTTTTTGAGTAATTTCGTAAAGATCTAGAACTGATTGAAATATTAAGTAAAGCAAAAATTGACTAATATTCCCTTGTTCATTCATCCTCTTGTTCGATATTTGCAAGGGCCTTTGGCCTTTTAAAACTTGGTCTCTGAAAGTTTCTCTTTGAGGAAACACTGTGTAATGTGTTTAAGAAGCTTCAAGGTTTTATACAAACTATGTCCAACTTTGGATATCATTTCTTGTGACAAAATTATGCAGCGCAACCCATGTTTATGGTAAAGAATGAAGTGGTTCAGTTGCCATACATGTTAACCCCTCCCCCCACCCTCACTGCTGTGGTCTGTGCTTTTAATTTGAAATTACATGCTTTATTCAAGTATCTAATAGTCATAAACTTGTTTCAGGGATTTAGAAAAATTGATACAGACCAGTGGGAATTTGCAAATGACGGATTTATCAGAGGGCAGAAACATTTGTTAAAGAATATCTGCAGGAGGAAAAATTCTCAGGGCACAGACAATCGAAAGTCAGTGCAACAGCAAGACAACTCCATTGAGCATTGTGAAAATGTTGAAAATGTGGGTCTCTGGAAGGAAGTTGAGAACCTGAAGACAGGTAAACATGCACTTACACAGGAGTTGGTTAAGCTCAGGCAGCACCAGGAAACTGCAGACAATAAGCTGCTCCTGTTGAGGGATCGCCTTCAAGGAATGGAAAAAAATCAGCAGCAGATGCTGTCTTTTTTAGTGATGGCAGTGCAGAGCCCAGGGTTTCTAGCTCAGCTACTAAACAAAAAGGAAAATAATTGGCGGATAGCTGAGCCAGGAAGCATAGTGGAGCAGGGTGCAGATGATGCTGAGCAGTTGGCTTCTGAGGGAATGATAGTAAGGTACCAGCCACCAGTGGATGAAATGTTCGAACCTGTACATGCACCACCAATTGGTCCAGAAAATCCACAAGAATCTAACCCATCTTCTGATGGGATGAAAGATTTTTTTGTGAGTCCAGATTTTATGGAACTTCTCATGGATGAAAATTTGGGTTTGGAAAATCATACCTCGTTTGTTTTACCAGAATTAGCGGATGATGGTTCTTGGGAACAACTGCTATTAGCCAATCCTTTCATTGATAATATTAAAGACACCAAACCCGGTTCTGAAGAGAGCACTGATACTGAAACTGATACCGGAACAACAATTTCTGGAATGCAGCTGGAGAGATCCCAAAGTTTTGAATATTTAATAGAACAGATGGAGAAGTCCAATGACTTGGAGAGCAAAGCAACTGATGAGGGACCTCACTTTGAGAAGTCTCACAAATTGGAAATTCTAACTGAGCAGATGGGTCTTCTGGCTTCGGAGCCAAACCACTAACACGCAGCAACATACCACATACAAAGACGTATTATATCAGACAGGCAATTTTAACTAAACAATGTAAGTTGGTTTTCTCTGGTCTCTCTTCCTTCACAAACCATTACAAAAAATTCTGTTATTTACAATTAGAGGAAATCTTATTACTTTAAGATTGCACTCTATTTCAAAGTTGTTAAGAGTATCATGTTCATGCCAGTTAGTACAATTCCCATACGCTGATTCCTCTTTATTTGTCGATTTATAGATTTAGGTGCGGGGACATGTTTTCTCTACATCTGCTGGGAGGAATTGCTTGGCTGTATTTTGTTCCTTGAAAATGGCGTCACCTATTATTCGCTATAAACATCAACAATGATATATAGTCATTGCCTTTTACTTAATAGATTCAGTATTCTAAAATGTAATAGGCATTCGATTTTATATATATAAGCGTTTTTTTATTTTTGGAAGCCCTTCGGGAGCTTAGCTGCAGTACTGTGATTGAACCATCCATCTGGTTATATTGTTATCCAAACGATTTTTCTCCTCTAACTGCATTTTCCTTGTAAATGGCTTTCTTATGGTTTTGGAAGTGTTCTGCGCGAGGATAATAGAATCTGAGGGTGGGTGTTGCAGCACAAATGCTTAAACACTATCTTAGAGAGAGGATATAATGAGGTTAATATAGGTTTCTCTGGGTTAAACTGGTAGTACAAGTCCTGTGCATGGCTGCCAAACATGCATCATTCCGTCTCATTCTATGATATTTTTAGCAGCACAGTTAACGTCTCTAGATTGCCACTATCAATATGAAACTAAAAAGGTGAAAAACTTGTTAAATATGTGACCACCTCCACGGCTTAATTTTCTATTGTATGTCGGGAGTACTCACTCAATCATCAGCCTGCTTATGATGCTACACAGATACTGTACATACAGAGGATATCTAAGCAAATCAAAACTTGCATTACCCAGCTAAGGACCCACCAGCAAATCGGGGTATGGGAATGAACATTAGGGTAGGAGTGAGTACAGTATTTCGAAGGGGCAGACGTAGCATTTCGAAATTTGAACGGCAACAAGAAACACATATCGGGCAGAGCTCGACTCTGCTAACAACGATATTTAGATGCACAACGAAGCAACTCAATTATGTGCAAGAACCCATCAAAGCTTTCATGATACTGGAACGAATGCAATCATCATAGGTAGGGAAACGGGAAAAAAACGAGTGCAATTATTTTAACTGTTGAGATTACATGATATTGACTAGGAGGATTATGGGTGGACAGCCTTAGCCATGCCAAATGCTGCAGCAGATGCAATGGCACCAATAAGGGCAGTTTGAAAAGCACTTCTAAAGGGTTTATTACCAGTGAAGTAACCCTTAGCAAAGCCGAAGATCAGCAAAGCTGCCAAAGTTAAGATCACCGAAGCAATCACAGCATCTTGGGCGCTTGGAATGAACATGTAAGGAATAAGGGGTACAAATCCGCCCAAAATGTAAGCAATGGCAATAGTCAGCGCACTCTGCAGTGCTCTTCTTGGATCTGGCTTCTCCAATCCTAGCTCAAATCTGTATCCATGTCATTATATAACTTCATTTCAGTATTCTTGGTTTTGCTAATGACACATATGATACAAGAAATAGCTAGTTTTAATAAATTATAAAATCAACACGTTATTGAAATCAAATTCTTAAAAAAAAAAAAAACATTATTAAAATCAAATTCACTCAGTAAAAGAAAACCAAGCATCCACTTTATTACATTACCTAGAAAAAGGAAAAGGAAAGAAAATATACATGGAAGTCAAAAGGGTATATGGTATCTCGTGATGCTGGATAACATAAAATCAGGGTGCAATTTGCAGATCACCCGTGCTCTGGGTAGGGGACCCTTCAGGGCTTGTCGTAATCAGGTCTTTTGCACATACTGTAATCATGATATGATAGTGGAGCAGCTGTTCAACTTGTCAACAAATTGGTGCGTTTTATGTTGGAAATTTTTGAAATAAATCTTGAAAGATTAACATCAACTTGTTATTCCATCTTTTCAGAGACTCTGATTAAGTAAACAATTACCATTCCAAACAAGAGAGGTTTGAGGATAAATGAAGCTTACTTCATCATGAAATCAAGCCAGGCTTGAGGCTTCTTCCTTAGAGCACTAACCACAGGCCCATACTCGTGCGGCTCTATTCCATAGTGTGCCAGTATCTCAGCCACCTCAGCCGCCTCTGCATTTTTCCCCAAAAAGAACAACCCCATCCATCATCTTTCACCTTTATGCAACAACTTAGCTTGTAATCATGTTCTTTATTAGTACTATTTTCTTTATCAAATTGAACTCGATTAGGCAAGGAAGAAAGACTAGTCTCCTAACCGGACATCATTATCGCAGGAAAAAAAGGAAGAAGAAGAAACTCTATCATTGTAAGAAAAAACCTGTATCGGGAACACTTTTGATCTCTTCTTGCTCTCTCCTGAGCTCTCTTGCGTAGTGATCTGCCTCACTTTTAGCCGCTAGATATCTGCACAGTAAATAGGAATGGGCTATAATATACATCATTGGCAGACTCGAGTTTACGGTGTTTCTCCTCATAAAAAAAAAAACAAAACGAACAAATTTAAAAAGCAAAATCAAGGACAAACAAATATGATTAATGATAAACAACAATACCCTCCAAGTCCCATGGAGATGGCGCCAGCAGCAACTTCAGCGATGCCGGCGGTGAGAACAATGGAAGACGTAGCATTAGCTCCAGACAAACCGGCAGCGAGAGCAAAAGGAACAGTTAGACCATCGGATACACCGATGATGATGTCACGAACGATCTCACCGGCAGTGAAGTGCTTCTCTTGGTGCTGGTTTAGGAGGGTCTGTTTCTCGGGATCTAGATCAACTCCTTGTGTCGAAGTCGCCATTAGGTGATTTTTGGCCTTTGTGATGTTGTCAATTAGTATGTACGTTTATACAAACATCAAACTGCCGGAAGGAGAGGGAGAGTCCTAATAGGACATTGAAGGGCGTGCCTTGCCTGGGAGAGTTTTGATGTTTGAAGTTTGGGCTGCGGTGGTATATAGCTAGGTGGGTCTGTTGTTTTCAACGCATGCTGACGCAGATTTCATACAAGGTAATTTTGTTTTTTTTCGTAGTCTTTGTATTTTGCAGTTTTAGACGAATCCGCTCCTGCACCATCTAGACCTGTTATCTCCACATTAGTACCAATTTTATATACTAATTTATTTTTTTCTTTTGTTTTTAAGCGGATACAATTATCGTTCTGCATTAATTTCCTCTCTTCCCAAAAATAACATTTTAGCGTGGGATGACGATTATGAAATTTTAAGTAAATTAGATGGTTTTTTTAATTATGAAATTAGATATCCTGTCATCAAGTAAATCATATTTATCTTTTTCATTATTTCTCGTTAAACTTTTATTTATTACAATAATCGGTAAGATTATTTTTATTAATATAGTTTCTTTTTTCATTTCTTTCATCCTTACAAACCCTTCTCTTTTTCTGAGGTTGAGGATTTTTTTTATGTCAAAAAATGTATAGATAGAATGATTATGTAGCAAGACATAACTTCGGTAATTTTACTTGCCATTTAAATGTGGCCAAATTTAATTAAAAACCTACACTGAAAACTGGCATTTCACTTTACCGATAAATAATAAAATGTTTTGGCTTTTAATAATTTGTTTCTTGAGATTTTTTAAAGTTTAATTTTTTTTTCAATTTTATTTTTTAATATTGAATTTAATAAATTTTAAATTTCATAGTTTATATTAATTTACTTTCTATAAAATTATTTTTATTTTATGATTTGGGCTTCACAAGGGAATTCAGGTTATTATTATTATTATTATTATTAATTGATTTTTTTCTTAACTTCTTTTCTTGATATTAAATTGATTGAAAATTAGTGTTTATGTGTACATGTGTACGTACGAGCTTATTATGATCTCATGACTCGAATCACGAGTTTTATATGTTGTTTAGTGATTAGATTTTTTATTTTTATTTTATTTGCTTTTAATGAGGTTACATGGTCTCATGAACCATGCCGCAGTTTAGCTTAGTTGTCTTAATTTTCTTATTTTTTTTAATTGATTTTTTAAATTTTGTCATTTAGTATTGAACTTTAATTGATTTTTTTAATTTTATCATTTAGTATTGAATAAATTGAGAATAAAGTTTTATAATTTATTTTTTATTTTTTTCATGGCTTGGGGCACTAACTTGGTTAGTTAACTCGAGTTGACCTGAGTGATTTTTTATCTATTTTTTCTTAAAAAAAAAAAGACCAGTTTCATCTTTCATTATTGAGGTGATTATTGAGGTGATTATGAATTAAGTTCAATTTTTTTTATTTGATTATTTCAATCTTATGACTTGAATTTAACAGATTAACTCGAATTGATTCTAATCATATTTCTAATTAAATTTTATTTTTAATATTGAATTAGTTGAAAATTAAGCTCTTTCTCAATTGTTTTTAAATTTATAAAATTAGTCATGATACATTAAATCAACTTCATATAATTTATTTATTTTTCTACTAAAATACACATTAATAATACATGGATATTTTATTATATTTAATAAAAAGTTTAATTCAACCTCCATGTGACATCACAGATTATTATCTAATCATCAGTTATAAGAACATAGAGTAGCGGTCGTAATTGTATTTTTTTAAGGACCTGAAACAAGCCTTCATCAACCAATTTGTAGCTCGGGGGATGTAGTCCATTGAACAAGTGGATGCATATGAACATGCGGCCTCAAGCTCTGAACCCACTGGAATGGACAAACTGAAGACAAAAGATGGGCTGTTTTTTCAAACATTTTTCTTATATCGCCGATAAAATTTCCCTGAAAAGTTTAAAATGTTCCGAATGAATGCCCAGCAACTCAGACTACGACAGTAGTGGACAGTCGATGGTCCAATCGACCTCGAAGGGTTCATAATTTTAGACTTTAGAGAGAGCTCAAAACTAATTTTAGGAAAGGATATTTGTATTAAATTGTCAAACAATACAAAGAAATAGAAGTCTAAAGAGGGTGTGGCTCGTAGGAACCCCGGTAGCGTTTCGGCCAGAAACGAATGTTCGGCTTCGGCTGGGACAGCAATTTCTAGCAGCAGGCTGCAGGCCTGGGTGGCCGTAGCATGAAAGCTGTTGGCGTCGCCCACTGCCGTGGGCCTATTGTTTTATGTTTTTTTATTTGTTCTTTTGGTAGCATGGACAACGACACGCCGCTGGCCATGTTCTTGGCAAACCAAGTAGGATTTGACCCCCCCCCTCCGGTCCCTGGCATTTTTGTTCGACACCTCCTTAATTTGCTGGAAAAATAGCGGAGGACTAATTGAACTTTCTTTATCAGGGGGTCCTTTAACCGGTGTTGCTAATTAAAAAATGAAAATGACATTTGCTCCTCCATGAGAATAGAAATGGAAAACCCCATATTAACACTACTAAGTACTAATTATCCTAATTAACTGCCGCAAATAGATACAACCAGACGGGACAATAGACTGATCAATACAAGGCAGTTAGAAGTGCTCCTGGGCAAGATCAGGTGCGAACAAAAGAAGTAGAAATCAAGCTCGAAAAACCTTAGCTATGCAATAAGCAGCTGCTGATGCCATGGATCCTATGAAAGCAGTTTGGATAGCATTCTTGAAAGGATTATTACCAGTGAAGTAACCCTTCACAAACCCAAAAATTAGTAATGCCACTATGGTTATTATAACAGATGCAACTACCGCTTCTTCAGCAAGTGGAATGACCATGTATGGTGCCAAGGGTACCAATCCACCCGCTATGTAAGAAATAGCAATAGTCAAGGCGCTTTGCAGTGCTCTCATGGGTTCTGGTTTCTCCGGTCCAAGTTCTAACTGTTAGGAAAAACTAGAAACAATCGGATATCAATTTACCTTGATCAATTCAGTAAAATACAATTCACAATTCACAAGTTCTAATTCTTTCCCTCTTTGTGCAGTAAAACAAAATCAAATAATGATCAAATATAATGCAAATAATCACAAAATCAACACCAAGATTTTTAACGTGGAAAACTCGATGCGGGAAAAATCACGAACAAATATATATCATCAAGAACAACTTATTCTCAGATTATAACAAGATTAAAGGAGAATTATTTGAGAAAAAACTCACAATACTGACAGCCTCGTTTTCTGTCAAAACGGTCAGTTTCACACCACCAATCTTCAATTCAACCGTTCAGAATGAAGATCAACGTGTCTAGAAGCTGCTGTCAAAATCTTAGTCCGATCTAACGGTGAAGAAGGAAGAACGCAGGTTGCTCTGCTGCCTCTTCTTCTCTTTTTCTCTCTCTATTTTCTTTTTTAAAATCTTAGTCCGATCTAACGGTGAAGAAGGAAGAACGCAGGCTGCTCTGCTGTCTCTTCTTCTCCTTTTCTCTCTCTATTTTTTTTTTCCTCTTCTGTTTTTCAATTATGCCGCTACAGTACCCGAATCACTTAATTTTAAAGAGAGTTAGCTGTCTCTCTTATCAATAAATGTGGTGGTCCTACCATCATATAGTGCGGGACTATACACAATACAAACCTACAAAAACATTAATCTGTCAGATAATACGAACTAAATATTGTTTTAAGAATTTGCGTATCCAAGCCAAAAAAACAAAATAGAGAGAGAGAGAACAGGAAGATGATATCAAGATTTTTACTTCATCATGAAATCCAGCCAGTGCTGGTTCCTCCTCAGAGCATTCACCACAGGCTCATATTCGTGTGGCTCAATATCATACTGTGATAATATTTCTCCACATTCAGCAGCCTCTGTTGGTTAAGATTATTAGACTTCTATTAATTAAACATCTACATTAATTACAATATCATTTTGCCACATTTGCATGGAAAAAAAGAAAAAATATGAATTTAATCATGACATGTCAAAAGGGTTGAGGCATTTAAACCTATATCGGGGACACTTATGATCTCTTCTTGCTCTATGTTTAGTTCCCTCATGTAATGGTCAGCTTCGCTTTCTGCTGCAAGGTACCTGCACCAGTCATCACGGAATGAGTTAACATCTGTTCATGTTTTGCAAAACCTGTAATATGCCATGGATTATCTATACCCGTATAGCTAAGCTGAGAAAGCGGCTTGATTAAAAATGTTAGTATTACCCAACCTCAGCAATGCCGGCAACAAGAATGATGCTGGATGTCACATTGGCACCGGACAATCCAGCGGCAAGGGCAAAAGGGACTGCGAGACCATCAGAGACACCTATGATAATGTCACGGACAATCTCACTAGACATGAAATGCTTCTCTTCATGCTCTTCAAGAAACAATTTCTGCTTCTCTAGGTCAGTGAACCCATTTTCAGCCATTGCCAGAGATACGTAATTCTCTTGTTTGGCAATGAAGTGATGACATGATGGTGGGAATTGAGCAATATACATAGCAGGTATAGAGCTTAATTAAACCGAATTAATGAAGCTTTTCCATTCCTCGAAACTGGGTCCACGTCTAATCAAGTCGGGCGTGTGCTGCTGCTATTTGGGAAGATGAAAAGGTTGGGTTCGCCGGTTCAGTACCCTGGGGTGGCTGGTCAAGCACGACCGCTCAGGCACAGATGATAATTAACTCCCTAGTATCATTATCATGATCACTGATATTTCTGTTACCAGTAATGAGTTAATTTTTTATTACTATTTCGTAAAAAAAAAATCTTAATATTCATTAAGTTTTAAAAACATAAAAATACATTTTATAATTATTTTATTTTACATTTTCATCTGTATTTTCAATTAAATATATTTTTATTTAGATCTCGATTCCATTTGAAACCTCTCTCTTCTTGAAACAATTAAATCTGAATACTAAATTAAAATGCCAATCGAGAAAGCATGTGTTCAGTAAGATCAGCACCTTCACATGATTGTAATTGGCGTGTGTGTGGCTGCTCAAGACTGTTGTGGATGACTGGATGTTGATAGCCACTGGGAGATTTGAGGTAAAATTACAAATTTGGAAAAGACAAGAAACGAGAATAAAAAGACACTTGCATGTGGAGCCGTGATTTGGTGCCCCTGCGGAAGTGTGCGGAACACAAGCCTCCACACGCCAATTATATATAAACCATTCCAAACTCAGGATTTTAAGGAAACAGAACAAAAACGTAAGAGATTTTTCAAAACCGGAATAATATTGTAATTTTCTATGAAAATGGAGTTAAAAAAAAAGGAGAAAACTTTATGTTAAAATTAAATAGCATAAAAAAAAATTTTCTATGAAAATGGAGTTAAAAAAAACTTTATGTTAAATTTAAATAGCATAAAAAATTAAAAAACTAATTTTTCAATTTTGTATTGAGCTTAAAAGATATATTTTAGAGATCTTTCACATCTTTTCTTCACAAGTTCTTCACTGTTTTTCAAATAAAAAAAAGACATCAACAATATAATTTTTTTATATATAAGTGCCTTCTAGTGCTATAGAATATTAAAATTATTTTTTTATATTTAGTAATTGTTAATAATTTATTTTTTATTATAAATTTAATATAAATCTTTTATGAGTTAATAATATTTTTTTCATGATAATATTTGATTTGATTGAAATAATTTGGATTATTGCGAATACAAAAGATTAAGAAAACTATTATATTATTAAATCTTGATATTGACTTTTTATCAGAAATAATTATAATTTTGATTCTTTAAAGAAAAATCATTTTCGTTCTTGATGCTTTGTTGGAGCGTGCTTATCACCATTCCATAAATAATTTAAGATTGCATTCATCGAGAATTTTTTTTTTTCTTCGCCGTGCTTTCATTTTCAATAGCTCATGACTGCTTCAATCGATTTGGACGAGGCCTTGGCATTTGACACGCACTACCTGAAACTTCAGCCGATTTGGACGAAGAAGCGAAATTGAAAGTTTAAGGACCTAACTGGAAATAATCCTTCTTTGAGACTCGACTGTGATATGTGTTATAATTTAAGGATTAAATTTGAGATTCGCTCATTCTTGTCCGTTCACGTGCCAGCCCCGCGCACTTCGATAGGGAATGTCAAAAGGTCGCACCAAGAGTGGAGGATCCATCAGAGTCGGAGGTGGTCCGCTTGTCAGAACACCGGTGCCAGCCACACGCCCTGACATCTAAGAGCGGAGACGAGGACAAGGAACGGAGAGCACGGGTTCGTACCTTTATTGCTTTATTTTTCCTTAACAGTGACACTAGGCCCACTACCATTTGTTCATACAGTATAAAGAAATATCAGAGAACCCAAACCCGGCAGGTACAGATTTTATGTATTTATTTTTATCATGATAGATTGGCGGGTATAGATACATGGAGATGAAATAAACTTGTTTTAACAGCGAAAGACCTACGAGATAAAATCAACAAATAAATATGTTGAATCTTGTTTGGTTTTAGATAATCCCGCGTACTCTACCTAAGAGGTTGCCCTTTTAAAAGGACCTTGTAATTGTATTTATGTATATTATATTTGTTTTCTGTTTGGATAGCCATTGGCCAGTAATATTTCAAACTTATATACAGTGTCGGATATGATATTTCTCTTGAAAAGAAAAGGCGAGCTATTATCGATCCTGTAATTGCTATGACGTGCACATAAATAGTCTTAAACAATATTGACATATTGAACACAAAATAGTCTTAAACAATATTGACATATTGAGCGCACACACACACACCATAAGCAATGAATCAACTGACCAATCATGCTGATAGGATTCGGATATGGACCGATCAAATTCTTGATCTCAGTTTGAATTAAAAAATTAGACCAAGATTCTAAAGTGCAAAGCCTTTCATTATACTATATTAAAAAACAGGGTGAAGTGGGTACCAGAAAAGAAGTCCACTAGGGAATAAGCTAATAGAAATTGACATGGTTTTCATTGCTATATGTTATCTGAAAGAATTAAAGTACTCGCACTTCTGATGATTATTGTCGTTTGAGATTGTTGCTGCGGGTTGATTATCATCAACGACCCTTTAATAACGTGGCCCAAATATTATTTTATAAAAACTTGATTTTTTATTTAAAATTAATTAATTATATTATATTTTTAAATAAAATTATTTTTAAACATATTCTTTATCACTATAAAAAACATTTAAAAGTAACTGACATCAATTTAAATAATTATTTTAAAAAATATATTTTTTATGACAATGAAAAGTGATGTCACATGTGTGACATGACATAAGATTATTGCATGCTCAAATAAGTATAGTGATATTTGGTAAATGCTAAATCAAATGAGTCTATTTTTGTTATAATGTAATTAAGTAAAATATAGTTTTTTTAAAAATAAAGTTATTAAAACCCAATGTAATCCATGACCACAATCATAACTTTGGCATATTAAAACATAAAATATGGGTAATTTAATATATTGATATCTTAATATTAAAAAAACATATATTTTCCTAGATTGTTTTTAAAACCAAAACATAATTTTTATAAGTTAACAGAGTTATGGTAGAATTTATATAATTTAATTTTAAATTAAAATAGGTTAGACATGAATTTGAGCAAGAAAATTTGAATGTTTAATTACAGAATCAAGTTTAATAATAATAAATATTACGATTTTAACCCACAAACATTTGATAAAGTTAATGAATTCAACTCTTCCTTCAGCCATCAATAACTTAACGCGGATAATAATTTACCTAACTGTAATTTATTTAAGAGAGTGTTTGAGAATATTGTAATAGTTGTTTTGTAAAATAATTTTTTTTATAAATACATTAATATAATATATGTTTTTATTTTATAAAAATAATTTTTAATATAACCACATCAAAACAATTAAAATAATAATTATGTTAAATATATATATATATATATATATATAAAATTTACCAAACCAAACACAATTCCAAACAAGGCATTACTCGCTCATCTGGTTTTAATAATAGCGTAGTAAACACTCACCGGTTAATTAAAGGGCGACCGACGTTTTTCGAATGAGACACCATACCTTGGAAATTGCAATATTACGAAGCTAGCTTGTTTGGAGCAACGCGGCCTCGTTAAATCTGAACGATGGCTTTGCAAAGCCTGGCCTCCTTTTTGCTATTTTTGGTTTGAAGGGGAGTTCGACAGCAGGGAATGTAATTAAATGCCCAGATAAGCTTTCACAGATTACATGTATAATTATAGTTGCATATATGATGTTTTAACTCCCAGGGAAACAAGGAACGCACTTCCTTTATCTAACCAATTCCTGAAGGCCCAAGTTGCCTTCTCAAACAAAAATACACACTGATATAAAATATCCCTTAAATTTCAAGTTGGTGGCAGAGGCCCATACACTCCGAAAACACACACTCATACGCGACTAAACATGTTTTAAAGATAGGCTTACAATGGCAACAAGTGACACAGGGAATGATTTCACTTATCACGCACTCTGAAGAGATAAAAACTAAGAGCAAACATAAAATTTTATGGAAAAGCATAATTTGGAAGCCATGTTAGGGAAAGATGTTAAATGAGGTAAAAAAAAACGAAAACATTAATCAGCACCTCACCTTGAACATCACTTATCACGCACTCTGAAGAGATAAAATTGAGCAAACATAATATTTTATGGAAAAGCATAAATGAGGTAAAAATAAACGAAGGTGGAACGCTTTAATATACCTCCCAGCCCAAGACAAATACAAAAAACAGAAAATCACAAAACAGACAAATTACCAATAACAGTGAAATAGATGAGCAACATCCAGGAAAAAGAATCATACTGAGCAGTGTTGAACATCATACAGCTACAGAAATGTTCATACCATAAATGTCCAGGTTGTGTTGTGAGGGACCGTGGGGCCTATTGGTTCTCCATGGAGACAAAAGCGTTTACATACTGTTTATAGATTCACATCTTGTTATATGTTTCTGTTTTACATTCCTGACTTCCGAAAGACAACATAGATCTCTCACTGATGCGCGGAATATGAAATAATACAAAGTGAAACAACAAAGAATGGACATTGAAAATCAGTTTTACAGCTCTTCAGGTCAGATCTCCACAATTTTCAGCACGAATTTGCTCAGGAGAACGAAAGTTTCAAGGTGAACATCGTTAGAGATATTATAAAGATCTTAAGTGTCCAAAACTACTAACAAATTGAACACTTAAAACCCCCAACGGTGACAGGAAAACAAAACAATTCGAAGGAGACATGCTACAAGAAATCCATCCACTGGGAAGCGGGGTTGGGTGCACATGCTGTACAAGCATCACTTCATGTAATCTATTTTGACAAAAAATGAACTCGTACAATTTAAGCAAAAACAAAAAGCTTAAAAATGTACTTCAACGGGTAAAAAACAGAACCAAAAGCGCCCTTTGACAATATTTCGATCAGCAATAAATGGAATGGTAAGAGTTGACAAATCCATGGTTTGTCAGCAGCATAATCCTCAGTGACGGAAACACCTCAACAAAAATGACAAATTGATAACAAAAATTACAGATCAAATTTTCTAACTCCCAAAAAAG